CACCAGCTGGGGAGGAGGGACGCTGTGGCCACTTAAAGTTTCAGCCCTGGCTGGTGGCTCAGCCAGTTAGAACAGCATCCTGTGCACCAAAAGGTTGCCAGCCTATCCCTGGTTATTTATGCAATCAACCAATGAATGCATGAATAAGTGGAACAAAAAATCTCTCTCTCTCTCTCTCTCTCTCTCTCTCTCTCTCTCTCTCTCTCTCTCTCGTTCCAGCAGGGCCCCTGCAGGCGGGCTGATGCCCCACATTGGCCAGGGTCAATCTTCTTTCTTCAGTCTCCTGATTCAAATGCGAATCTCTCCCAGACACCCACACAGACACAGCCAGAGGTATTTACCAGGAACCTGGGCGTCCCTTAGCCCAGCCCAGTTACGAGTAAACGTAACCATCACATGATCACGTGGAGGTAGCAGATTTACGTGCTTGACATCCCAGAGGAAATCCAGATCAATGTTTCTCTTTTCCTGGTGTTTAAACAGATACCATCAGAGCACTCATTGGCAGGGACTTTTCTGACAATAAACACAGCCAAAGGCATGCCTTCTTCCTGTCACTAGAACTGCAACACAGTCAACTCAGATCTGCCTCCAGACACTTCTGGGTCGCAGTTCTATGCCATGACCACAGGGGGCCTTCTGCTGAGAATTACCCATTTGAGATCCCAGGACGGGGACAGACACCTGTCTGATTAGGAAGAGGCTTTGTGACAAGGCTGTTTACATGGATAGCGCCCTTTAAACTTCATACCGTCGCCAAGGAAACAATAGATAACGACTCGCAGAAGGAATCTTCACATTTCGCCAGAGGTAAAATTTCCATCTCGCATTCAGGCAATGGATACGTTTCAAAAACCACATCACAGTAGCATTTCCCACTGGGAATTACTGTGCATGCTTTGCTTAGCCACTCCATAACAGATTTTTTAAAAAACTCTTTTAGAAAAGGGATTTTTAGTAGGAGTGTGTGTGTGTGTTTATTTATTTATGTTTAATGTAACGATTGCATAATGTACTTAATCTTAACGGGCTTTAGGTTGGGTTTTCAAAAGGTATCATGAGTTTGAGCAAATTGATGGTAAGGCGGATAACAATGAATGAAGAGCTACTGGCAGCTTAAGACACTGTTTATCTCATTTGAGGCTGATGGGATTCAAATTGCTTCTTAGCTGAGCAACATGCGGTGGAAAAGGAGCGCACTTAGGCGGCTCCCATTTGCATTTCTGCTGAATTACTCTGCTCTGCTTTCTAAGACAAGTGACTAGGACCGTGGCCGGCAAACGGCGGCTCGCGAGCCACAGGCAGCTCTTTGGCCCCTTGAGTGTGGCTCTTCCTAAGCCTTAGGAGGACCCTAATTAAGTTAATAACAATGTACCTACCTCTACAGTTTAAGTTTAAAAAATATGGCTCTCAAAAGAAATTTTAATCGTACTGTTGATATTTGGCTCTGTTGACTAATGAGTTTGCCAACCACTGGACTAGGAGAGAAAACTATGTTCCCGGGAAGTAAGCCAGGAGCACGGGGACTAGACGAAGGATGCTTATCAGTGAAGACGTCAGAAGCGCGCCTCCCGTTTTCCTGATACAAAGGCAATCAGAGTTGGGATCAGCGCAGACAGACACTGATGCTCCCCACGCTCACCAGCTCCCACAGGAGCCAGAGGCAGCCCTGAGATAAACAATCCACACTACCCAGACCCACCTCTCCTGCCCTGCTGCTGTCAGGGGAAGGTTGGAATTTCAATTAGCATCAATCTCCATGTGTTACATCTTGAACAGTCAGTTAACTGCTTCCTAATCCCTGCAATGTGAAACACTATTGTTTTGCAAAGGCATTTCCTTTAAACTCACAGGGAAAAAAATTCCTATTTGACCAGTGAAACAATATTTTTCTCCAAATAAAACACTAAATATTAAATAATTGCTTTGTTTAGGATTTTAATAATAGGCCTATTTACAAAAATTATTATACTTGGACAGTATAAGTTCAGAGGCAATTGAATGTGTCCACGTAGAATCTGAGTCAACAGCCCAGTGGCTGCACTGGACATCTCTCTAGTGTTTCGGAATTCTTTCCCACATGTGTATTCCTTGGAAAACTTCTTACGTCATACAAAGCACATACCATGAGCACTGGTAACACGGATCCCACTCAACTCGGTGCCAACATTCCCATTTCCTATGTCATCTCAAATGTCCCCATAGATTTTTTTCTTAAAACTTCCTTTTTCCAAAAATATTGGCTGATGCCTAAGAAAACTGCTGAGAAAGGATACACCTAAAGGATTTCTGCAGATTTCTTATTTCAGTATTTCAGAAGGACATATGGGTATTTGATAGGTACCATCTCTTTCAGAGAAGATTTTAAAAATAATTTTAAATTTATGAGGCCACAAAGCACAATTAACACAGCTTCAGAGATATAAATGTAAAGTAGCTGTCTTAGGTCTGGTACCGTTATGACCAAGGGGTCATTAATAACAGGAAAGAAGCAAGGGAAGGCCAGATGTTAGAAGCATGTCACTTGGGCAGCTGCATCAGAAAGCTACACCTTTACACTCCCCGGGGTCCAACAAAAGGAAGGTGGACTCGTGCCCAGTAAAGCTGGGTGACTGGGGAAGGTACCTGACTGTCCACCACACCTGGGGACAGAAGCGGTTGGCCAGTCTGGGCACAGCCACGGCAAGTGCTCCGAAATCTGGGACATGGAATCCCCTGAACAAAGGAATTCGATCTCTCGTGCTTAAAAGATCAGACAGAGGCCTAAAACCAGGACTACAGGCTTTATTGGAGGAGAAGCACCTGCCGGGCTGTCTCGCAAGGGGAGGACAGCAGCACCTGCAGGGGTGGGCACGCCTTCTGAGGGGCGGAATGGGAAGGGGTGGGGCTTAGTGTACTCGGCGCACGCTGATTGGTGGCTTAATGCATGGTCCATATAGGACAAGGCTTAGGGTATTTGGCAGGTGTGGATTGGTGGTCCAAAGTATAGTCCATATAAGGTACCTGGTTAGTCACTCAGGTCTTTCTGGGCTGCAGCGTCATACTCCGCCCACCAGTTGGGGGGAAGGGAGGATCTATGAATGCTTTTGAGGCCCTTGGGACTCTTGCTGCTGGGGGAGGGCCCTCCTGCACTCTCCCGTGTGGCCTGGGGCCATGTGGCCCCCACACAGTGGACCAATGACTGACTAGCCAGATGCTGACGGGATCCAGCTCAACCTGGAAGGGAACCTGGACACTGGTGGGACCGAAGCCCCAGCTACGCTTCCCCCGGGACTGGATGAAGAGAAACGGGACTTTGGAAGCCCAGGGATGTAATTCCACAAAAATAAAGCTTTCACCCACATCTGGTCCTCCGGTGGGGTCTCTGGAAATGTTATCCCAGCGGCACCCCAAGAGCACCACTTCCACCAATAACAGCTTCTTTATTGGAATGAAACACAATTTTCTCTGTTCAGAATTTCTGAAGAAAGTCTCTCCCCGGGAGGCGCATGCAGTTTTGACTGTCTCCGCAAAATTCTGATGGAACTGCTGTTTTCCTCAGACAGTTAGATGCAAACATTCCTTCCATTCTTTAAAATAATTTTAACAATTGAAGACATCTGAACCAGTTCATTAGCATGCCTGTGGGGTTTTGATAAAAATAAAGTAAGCCCAGTTTATTTTACACGACTAATGCATCAGGCCGGCTCCCGTTGGGGGCTGCATTGCTAGCTGCTCAGAAAGAGGTCGCACCGGCCGAAGAGCACGCGCCAGCGCCCAGGCAGGCTCCTGGGCCGGCGCCAGGGATCGGGATCAAACACAGGGCAGTCTGAGCCCGAAGTTCCTGCTTTTCATTCCGCCGTGGAGTTTCCCACCATCTGCGTCTAGTCTCCAACCAGTTCTTAACAACGAAACCATCATTTAATATTATAGCCAATACTCCTACTGACAATAATTCAAAACAATTTTGTGTAATACTAGATATTTTGGGGGTAAAACATGAATAGTTATTGCATTTTCTTTCTTTGGAATCTGATGTTATTTTAAGTTTAACTCGACCTAACCCATCCTGTAGTCCTATACAGTGTTTGACTGCTGCATGTTCTAAAAACTCATGGGCAGTATCCAGCTAATGAAACCTCATGAACTCACAACACTTGATGTGATGGCTGGGCTTCCCTCATCAGAGAGAAAGGAAGAGTGCTATGAGCTGGTGAGTTGTTATGAAAACAACGCACGCTTGTATGTTCAGCAGCACTCTCCTATGTGGGGAGAAAGAAAATATGTCATTCTTGTTTGCAGGGGCTGGAGAGAGGCTGCTTTGGAACCTTGTAATCCCAGGATCTTCAAATTCCGTGACTGTTTTTTAAACATAAAACAGAAGATGGATTGTTGTCTGGGAAGAAACCATGCTTCTTATTTCAAGTAACCGCTCCTTTTGCACTGAGGACTTTAGTTTCACATTATTTTTGCATATCCGACTAATTATAAGATTAGAAAACCAATAGATGTGTCAAAACACATTGGCGAGAAAGTGGTTTTTCATAAAAATAAAGAAGGATATAATACAAAATAATAACTTTTGTAGTTGTATTAAATTGGGAGACAAAAGGAAATGGGTAAGAGAAGAAAGGGGCAAGATTCACAGAGTAGAAAGGTGAAGATTGAAAAGAAAGTAGCAGGAAGGAGCCACACAACAAATGTCAATCAGGGTTCAGTGTCGAGTGGAAACACTGGAACGGAGTGTGGGAAGCGAGGCTGCGTAACACGCACCCAGACTTCAGTACTAAGTGACACGGCACAAAACCAGGCCTCTCATCTTCCATCGAAAGACCACACGAAAGACCACCATAACCTAGAGGCCCATACAAATTCTTATTGCAGAGGTTATGAAAACCCTCATGTGTTGTTTCATAATTTTAAAAACAAATGTAGAGTCAGCACCGTAAGCCTGAGAATTACTGGGCGTCCAGAACCAAACATAAGACAGATGTTTGCTACGGAAAGAACCACGTGCTTACCGTCGTGATTCGGATTTCCCAGTGTCCACGGCTCGTCGGAGTCAAAATGAGTGTCTCCCCCGATTCCTGGTCCCGGGAAGTAGGCATGTGCCAAAAACCCTCCCTCTCCATCGAAGGGAGAGCTGTCTCCATGGAAACCAGATGCAAAAATGATGGTTATATCCACGTCTCGCTTGCCGTTTTCTAACTCACTGTAGGGCACTTCTTCGAATGTCAGGGGAGTCACGTTCTGCCACACGTCGAAGGCACGGCGGATAGCTCTGCGTGTCTCAGGGTCCCCCACTTTCGGAGTTACGTTCTTTATACTGAAATTTAGAGAAAAGAATAAGGCGCATGGCTTCGTTCCAAATAGTCTGGCTTACAGATTTTGATCTATTCAGTGAGTAAAATAATGAATAGGAGAAATGAATTAAAATCTATGCTTCCGTAGCTAGAGCTCACTATATGGGCCGTCTGGTTCTCCGCGGCCCAGCATCCTCCACCCCCGCTGGAGTGGGAGTCCCTGCGGAGTGTGGGGCGGCAGGGCCGCCAGGACGCGCCGGGAATGGGGGAGGCACTGCCGAGGGTCAGAAGGTACTGAAAGAAAAGCCCAGCATCTTCCTGGGAGCTATGACTTCCAGGGTCAGCGCTGTGGTCGCCCGCCGTCCTAGCCAGGCCTCTGCGCACCTATGGCCACCAGTTCTGCAGACACCGTTATTTCTCAGTTTTAAAAGAAAAGGCCAATTAATTACTGTTTCTGATGTTCTATTGTTTTCTTATTATATACGTAATTTGTTCTAGCTAAAATAGGCAATCTGAGTGAAAAGCTTTTTAATACAAATATTTAGCAATTATATAAATTTAAAGAAGTAACTTGGGCATTATTTAATTAGTTTATTTGTCTTGATGCTAATAACAAAGATAAAAATTATAAAATTTTCTCAATTTGTTTTGCATTAATCAGATATTTCTCTTTTCTCAGTTCTTTTTATATTTTTCTAAATAGAGCATGAATGAAATAAATATACGTACACATATTTTATATTGTTGTAGTATAAGTTTGTATCATTTTTGTGGAAAGCAATGAGTAACTTCCACAAGAAGCATAAATAAATCTCAGACTCCTTCAACCAACAATCTTACAGCCACGAATCCATGAAATCTCACTAAGGAACTATCTTAATATATGAAGGAGGATAGAATATCCAAGTTAATATTTATTGCAATGCAATAATAAAAGAAGTGGGATCTAAATGATTTATGATAATGGAGTGATAGTTCAATGATGGCATCTCCATTGAGTGTCGTAATATATACAGAACTTAAAATTAGTTTTGTTTTTAAGGCACTTGGCAACATGGAAAAAGAGTTGAGATATATTTCCCAGTGGGAAAATTATACGCAGACTATATTTTAACCCTATTGTAACAATGTCCAGATGGTACATATTCTTATAGATCAAGAAAATGAGGAAGGAAACCACATGGAAAAGAGTAGGAGAGATGACAAGCGAAGACCAAGGTGGGGACAGTTGGGCCTGGGCCAGTTCAAGGAACAGCAACACGCAGCCTGGCCAGCAGGGGGCGGTGTCGGGCCAGGGGCCAGAAGGGGCAGCATGAAGACAAGGCAGGGCTATGGGCCTGGCTTTTGCTCCAGATGAGAGGGGAACACCTGGAGCGTGGAGCTGGTGAGCAGAGGAGTGACACTGACTACAGGTTAAACCAACAGCTGCGGTCACCACGGGGAAACAGCAGATTCACGGGCAGTAAGAGTGGAGCAGGGACACCATGGGGGCTTTGGGCCGGGACCAGTGAGGACACTGGGAAATGCTTGGATGTGGACAGACTGTGTGGACACAACTGCCAAGATGCACTAATGGTCAGACACGGGCTGTGAGAGAGAATTAGTGCCAAGAAAGTCGCCGTACTGTCCACCTGAGCCAACGGATGGTGTCGTGAAAGGCTCGTGCCCTCAGGGAGAGAGGGGTGCAGCATTTCCTTGTGAGTTTATCTCATTTACTTATTCTTTTGCTTTAGGCCCCATTCTGTGTGATGTCATAAACTCCATTTAGAAGGGGGCCTCCGACACCGGCTTACCCCGGGGTCTCCTGTGTGAGGGCTGAGGAGGCACATGGTTCATGCTGAAACTCCGACTTTTCTCCAAGTTTGTTTTCCTAGTGGTCTGTCATTCCTTCCCACACTATGGGCCGCAGAAGTCCCCATGCTTAGGCAAGTGTTCTTGCGACACACTCTCTGAAAGCATGCAGACCGTGGGGGCCCTGCTTCCTGCCGCACTGCCTGTGAACATGCTATCCCCGCGATGACCCGATCGTGTACTTAACCTGCAGTCCAGTGTCACTTCTCTGGACAAGAGACAGAGCTGGAAGCAGGCTTCTTCAGAACTTCTCTATTGTAGTGATGAGAAACAATAAAAAGAACAACACAATTAGACAATGACAGACATGATGGTGAGGGCTGAGGAGGCCGGTGAGTACATGATGAGGATGATTTCAATGACAACAGGAGCCACATGTGCCTAGCACTGAGTTCCCAGGGGGGAAAGGGACAGGTAGCAGCCTTGTGGTGTACAGGACGATGATCCAACCAACTGAGCCACATGGCTAGGACAACACTAAAATAATTTTAAAGAGCATCATTGATATGTAACAGAAAATGGAAATGTATAAAATGTTCATTAAAAGCATAGAAGGCAGAAAAAGGGAAGACAAAAGAACACCACAAAGAACAACAGCAATAGGCAGCAGAGAGTTATAAATACAGCAGATACTAATTCAACTATATCAATAATCGCTTGAAAATGAATGGTCACTACACACCAAGGAAAAGAGAGAGAGGGGATTAAGAAGCTAACAGCAATGACGTGCTGCCAATGGGAGACCAACCTTAACTATACAGACATTGTAAGATTAAAAGTACAGGGATGAGCACACACCACACTATACTGATCAGAATAAAACTGTAGCAACTACATTAATTGCAGACAGAGCTGGCTGCAGAGCAAGGAACATCACCAGGGAGAAAGAGCTTGTTGTGTAATGATAAAGGTGTCAGATTTTCACGAAGACATAGCAGAATGTAATGTTTATGTGCCAAGCCACAGAACAACCAAGCACATGAGGCAAAAGCGGGCAGAATTGCAGGAACATAGCTAGACGACTGCACTGTCTCAGTTGGAGCCTGGACCGGCCCTGCCTCAGTAGCTGGCAGCCCTGCAGACGGGAAACAGAGGTGGGCACGGGGAACGGACCCCTCAGTCAGCTCACTCATCGTGGTCAGCCTCACTGACACTTCATCTGTCAGAAGACCCGACAGACCCCTCACCAGAGGAGACGTAAAGCTGGCCAGCAAGTACATGAAGAGCGCATGTCATTAGGAGCTGCACGCTGAAACAACGAGGACCCACTGCACACCTGCTAGACTGTCACAGGAGGGCCCACAGCACCCAGCACCCTCCTCACAGCACTCTCCAGGCGGCTTCCTGCAAAGGCACTGCATGTGACCAGGCTTTACTGTCACACGGACATTGAAAGTCCTCAGCTATTCAAAGACATTGTGTTTAAGTGGCAATTACCTGTGCGGTCACTTAGGGTCTTTTAGATTGTGAACTCTAGTGGAAGAACGCCATGTGTCCGGGTAGGCGGCGATGGCCCCTCAGAACACAGGTGTGCCTTCGGGGCGCTGGGAGGTGCAGTTCACTGCAGTGCCACGGGGGCCCCCAAAGGGCAAGCCGCTCTCTTTCTCTAACCTGGCTTTCCGTTCCTTGCGTGAACATTGTACCACAACAGGTCACCCTGTAGTCAGCGTGTGTAGGTGTCAAGAGACATCTAACTGAGCAGCAGTGACACGTGGAGACGGAACGTGGCCCGGTGCTCCTACCTGTAGGTGATGTGCTTGTGCTGCCACTTCTGGCCCGTGAGCGCGTATCGCTTCCGGCGGACGCTGAACCTGGAGCCGCCTCTGGTCTGGTCAGGCACCCCACACCGGGGCCTCTTCATCCAGCTGCAAGAAGCAGGCCTCCGTTAGTGAGCAGCCTCATCGCTAACCTCAAAGGACACCAGCGGGAAGCCGTCTACGGTGGGATGAGGAGACCGGAAACCAAAGCAGAAACCCGCCCACTTTCTTGCGGTTTGAATCTAAATAGAAAGCACATTATTTTTCCTGAATGATCAAGATTCACTAGCTTACATCACAGAGCTTTTAGATATTTTTCTCTCTCTAATTTATTCTGAGCCAGTGGTAGACTGTCTGAAAATGAGACTTTGAAAAGAAATTCTCAGGAAGGTCTCCTCCAGCTCTAACATTCAACAATGTTAAAATCTGTGACGTGGCCTTAAATTCCAGCAGCTAAGAGGGTGTGCCTTGCACACAGAGAACTTGCTGAATAGCATTTGCCTTCCCACCTTTTCTTCTTTTCACTTTCATTATCCTAATTCCGAAGCAAGAGCCATCCGATAACCACATTCCATGCTTAAGTAATGTTTTCTCCTGAATATGAGGTTAGCACCACAGAAGTAAGGTTTACGTGTTTATATTAAGAAAATGAAATGCTGCTTTTGGTTATAAACTTTGAACATTTCACAGGTGCAGGCGTCTGCAATCCTGGAGACGCGCTGACTACTGCTGTTTTCTACGTGGTCTTGCTTCTTCTCCAAACAGAATGGTTTTCCTGCTGCTGGGACGTTTTCTGTAGTGACTCATAAAGGGCTCTCCTGCTCATGACCCCATTTAATGTAACGATTACAAAGCTGGGGCAGACTCTATGGTCCTACCGGCTGCGGAAAGCGGAGATCAGGAAAGAATCAAAGAGAAAGAGGGCTCCGGGTGTGGACAGCAGCGTGGGGCTGCGAGTGGGGTGCCTGGCGGTGGAAGAGGGCACAGAGAGGATCAACGTGATGGGAAAAATAAAGCAAAATAAAAAGAATCCACTTTTGCTGTATTTCACCAAAAACTTAACAGTGTCTATACTCTTGAAAGGGACGAAGCTCCTGTGGAGAAGACTGTCAGCGATGTCCGTTTGTGGGAATAAATGACATGGTTTGCATGTGACGTGGATAAATCAGCTTTTACAAACAGAAACACGCTGCCTGCAGCAGTGAAACCACGACTTGCTTTTCCAGGCAGTGGGCGGTCCCCTGCCCTGGGCCCGGCAGGAACATGGCCGTGGCATGGCTGACCTGCTGGGCCCGGCAGGAACGGGGCCGTGGCATAGCTGACCTGACGGCCCCATCGAGGTGACAGCTGCTTCAGAGAACCACCCGTGTATTTATCCAAGTCTCCAGATCCAAGGAGATGTCCTGAAAGCACTCATTCCGCAGGCTGTCGGCCTCAAAACTGGCTGAGCTGACTGAGCAGAGGCTGGGCCCGATCCTACAGTCACCCCGGCATCCCAGGACTCTGAGGGTCCCCTGGCCTGACGCACCAGGCGGGCTCTGCAGGCCCCCCTGGTGGGACCCCTGGCATAAAACCACATCCAGTGATGAGGAACCTGAAGAGCCATTCCTCTTCATTACACATGCAAGACCGCGATCTGAACCCAGACGCCAACACCAGGCATTACTGGTGGGCTGAGGATGAGGGAAGCGGTTTTAATATATGGGTGTTTTGTTAATCACATCAACAAAATTATAATACTCCTCAGGCAAGTACTTATCCTTACCTATTTACTGAAATAATAAATAATACCAAGTTATTAAAGATGCACAAATGTACTTAATGCAGAATGCATGTGGTCACATATTTAGCTAAGGAAAATATTTAAGGAAATGCTCTAAGTGGAGAAATAATTTTGAAATGAGTAGTGGATAAAATTTGACAAAATGGAATTAGTTGTTATCAGAATCAAATGTATGTTCAATGAAAATATATTCTCTAAAATTACATTAATAATCCACAAAATTAAAAGGCGAAGTTGGTAACTGAAAGCGATTTCATTGTGTTGCCCTCGCTTCCATTTAGGCTGCGCACACGCGAGGGAGCTCCTCCGAGCAGCCCGCTCCCCAGAGCAGGCCTCGCCACACAGGTCCCGGGGTTAATCGGAACCTCTGTTAACTCCTTAGAGATTTCATTGGCTTTTGCATATAATTTTGTCTTATGTTCCAAGTGTTTATTCACTTATTTACTCACCCTGATCCATTCATCCTACAATATTTCTGAGCATTTATAACACGCTGAGAGAAGCAAGGCCAGAAGCCCTCGCTGAGTTCACACGCCGTCAGCCAGACATGCCTGATAAACAAGGCTTCCGACACGGCTGACTCGTCTCCATCGAGGCACCTGCCGTGTGTTGTTTTACATGTAGTAAACACACGAGTGTTGTTCCTTCCCCAAACTTGCACCAACTGCTCTGATGCCTAATCTCAGCCCAAATCAGAGCACCCCCAATGCCTGGGCCGGAAGGCCTTGCAGGTCCCACTGCCCTGCTCTGCCCCCCCATCCAGGAACCACAGCGCAGCCTCTGCTGCCGCCCACCCCCCAGGTGCCTCTCCCCTCCGCTGCGCCGGCCTCCTCCTCCTGACTGCACTCCCCAGGCACAGACCGTCCTCCTCCTGTTCGGCCATGGAACACCCTGTAGAAGGACTTGGACACAGGCCTCCTTAGCTGGGTCTCTGGCCCTCCGCTTCCCCAGGCCACGCAGGCCCACAGCCCAGCCTCCCTCTGCGTAGTGCAGTGGCCCGTGCCAGGATCACCGTCCCCGCCCTGTTCCCACTGAGAACCCCCACACCCTCACATGCAGCTCCCTCAGGCAGAGCTGCCGCCTGACGCAGCAGGGCTGTTCTGTGGGTTCCGACCTGCACGTCTGTCTGGCCTGGCATCGGGCTAGGGAGCCTGTGGGCCCGGCCCAGGGCCACCTGTGCCAGGGCCACCCCTGCGTCGCTGCAGTGAGGCGGGGGCTCAGGAGCCCAGTCGGCAGCCTCTGCACGTGCTGACCTGCCCATTGTCCAGCAGGTTCCCGCGGACTTCGTCGTCCTCCCAGCTCTGCGCCTTCAACAGAAGCTGCCTGGGCGGACACCGCACAGGCACGCTTACGGGCTAGACTAGCTCATCAGGCAGATGCTGACATGCAAGCATGAAGCTCGGGCAGGCCTGATCTGGCACCAACAGAAACTTCACGCAAAGAAGCCTTAGTGAGGGTTGGTCAGGCTGAGAATATTCCACCTTAACTTCGCCAGTACTGACACCCACACACTGTGGCACGGAGCTATCAGTGGGCATTGTTTATTGAAATATGTAAAACCCCACCAATATGGTCAAAGGGCATTCTGACAGGAACCGTCTCTGTGGTAAATTGGTCTCCGGGATTTTACGGGACTGCAACATTTAAAACACTTTTCAGGGAGGGCGGGGGTAAGGGGAAGAGATCAACCAAAGGACTTGTATGCGTGCATATACGCCAAACCAATGGACATGGACAACAGGGGGATGAGAGCATGAGTGGGAGGGGGGGAGGTTGGGGGTTCATGGGGGGGATGAGGACACACTTGTAATACCTTAACCAATAAAGAAATTAAAGATAAAAAAAAAACAAAAAAAACCACACTTTTCATTCCGGAGCAGGCAGGCTTCCTCACACGTTTTTAAAGTGGGTGAGAGGCCCCGTCGGTGAGTGCAGGGCTAGTGCCTGATCCTCTCAGTGTGCTCACGGCCACTGGGGGGCTCTGGCGGCCACAGCCATTTCTAGGCCAACATGAAGTTATTGTGCAACCAAATGCTAGCTGCCCCCAAATACCATTTTGATAAATCCTGTGAATACCCGTGACAAGGGCACAGACTCTGCTTGCCAGAGTGAACCCCGTGGTCTCCCTTAAGGTGACAAACATCCCAGGAAAGAAACAGGCGCTGACGGGGGTGTGTGGGGGGCAGCAGGGGAGTCACCTTGAATGTGATATCCCACCAAACTGCAATGCAAACACTCTGACACATAAAAGATAAACTAAAATTTAAAAATGTCTCCTATTAACATTGTAAAATCATATTACACTCATGTTCATTATTGCCGTGCCATGTCTTTCTCTCCTTTTCTTCATAACATAAATGGTTCCATTTATTAAGGAACTTAAGAGAGCTTCCGCCCCAAAATTAGCTAAGAAACCCATTATTTGAAAGAACTGTTGACATATATGACAATGAGCTCATTTTCATATATGTATTTATTACTATCTTTCCAACCCCAATGCTGATTAATATAAAAGCAATATAGAACCCATTTAAGGTAACACCTTCATCTGTGGCGTGAAAATGGTTCCTTTCTTCAGCACGACGCAGAGGTGACCACAGCTGGAAGCACTGCTTTTAAGTGCCCAAGAATTACAGTCTGAATGTACTAACGTCTGCCTGCCGGAGGAGAGCGGAATTATTTAACTTAAAAACAACTGATCTTGCCAAGAGTCTAAAATTAGATAAAAGTGTATAGCTACTCAGAGTGAATCCTAAGACATTTCAGCGGAGAGGAGAGATTTCAGGCCTACAGTTGCAGTCCACAGTGTATGCCCTCTGACTGTCCCCGCAACCTGGTGCCGCTGTGGCGTGGGTGGTTTCTTTACCGGAAAAGACGGAGAGAAAAGTGCGCCCATCTCCCCCTGTGGGCGTTGATGGGTGACGACCACAGGGTGTGATGAGGGAGATTTACTTTGTGCCAAGAGCTCGAAACACCCAGGGGCTCCAGGAGGGAATGAGCCTCTCCCTCTGCTCTCCAGAAGCCATACCGCCTCCACGCTGCTGGGACCTGCAGGCACCGTGACCGCCGGGCCCCTCGCAAAGAGCTGAGGTCCATGAGCTGCCTCTGCCTCCTCCAGAGGAAACGCCCGTGGAGATGGCTGCTGAGGGGCTGCGTGAGCGAATGACTGAGGCCTCAATCAGTGAGATGACAAACACTATTCAAGAGAAGCAACTGAAGGCAGAGACTTTTCCAGGGAAAACCCTCCTTGATTAACTGGTCGGGGCAATTTTCCCTTGTGGACTGTCAGGAAGCTGAAGACTGGCTCTGCCCTCTCCCCCAGGGGCCCTGGTTTGGACAGTTGTCCATCTCCCTTGGGGTCAGAGTTCTAATTTGGCCAATTTCAAGTGGCCGCTGGGCCACGACTCAGCAGGGAGCAGATGTGCCGTGTGCCCTCCCAGCCGGACGCCCGCCAACAGGTCGCAGACACCCCTCTTGTCCTGGCTGCAGCAGGGCCCGCTCTGACTCCCACTCCCGGGCACAGTGTCGTTCCTATTTTGAAAACGTGTCTCTGACATCAGCTGAGCAAATTTGACCTCTCACAGGAATGAGCTTAAACAGGCTCAATTCCAAAGGCAAGTTCCCAAACGAGCGACCCCATTGGAGGTCGCCGGGTCATTCAGGTTTTCAGGAGACATGGTCTGGCTCAGGGGCCCCGAGAATGTGCGCGTGTGACTTACTCGATGGTGTTCCTGTCCACCTTGCCCGTCATGTTGATGCCGTAGAACTGCTGCATGGCCGCGAGGGCCGACTGCATGGCCTCGGCCGAGCGCAGCACCGCCAGCCGCGGCTCCGTCGGGGGCAGGTAGCCGTACTTCTGCAGCCACACCTGCAAGACAAGCAGCTCCTTTGGGATCAACGTCACCACCAGCAAGGATTTCAGGGTAACGTGTACGTCCGCGTGGACCTCTAAACGTCATTTCCTTCACAAAGGCATCTGTTATTTAAGGGATTTACCTCTTTTCAACTATTTAAGTGCTTTTATGCCTTCTTAACATATAGTCTGTACTTAAATGTAATCTCAGTGGTGGTTACAGGTATTTCTAATACACCTACAAACGTTAACTGAAAAAAAAAGATGATTCATTTGTTGCATTCAGACTGTTTGTAAGGCATGGTAGTAAATACTGGCTAAAATCATAAATAAGATTATTCCTGCCTTCTGGGAATTCCACCTCTCACATAAAGGATGGCATGTTTCCACGCTCTGCCCCCGGGGCACCCGCTGGCAGGAGAGGTGAACGGGCAGCTGCCCCCGAAACTGCCTGCTTCCCGAGCACCGGGCCTGAGATGCGCTGGGATGAGCTGTGTCCACACAGGGAGGCCACGGGGTGCAGTCCCCACACTCTGGGGACAAAAGGTCTACCACTGCTGCTGGCTGTCTTCGAGGACCGGTAACTGTTTCTCATGCAGGGAATGTTCTTTCATGTGTAAGGAGAGTCCCTTCAATCCAACTTTCCGAAACAATCAGCCGATCTGAAGGAGGTCTGCCCTCCCTCTGAGGACCTCATGGGGTTTATTCCTCTTTGCCAGGTAGGAGCCACCTGGGAGTCCCTGGGGGAGAGATGGCAGCGTGCGCTCCATCCTCGTGGGGACTACAGCAGCAAGTCAGGGTCCTTTAAGGCTGGAATTTTAAAAGCCAGCGTTTCAGGGGGAGGGGGATCATCAGCAGAGAGCGGATGCTTCCTGGTTTTAGGTTCTAGGATTTGTTTCAAACGCACAGCCCTATGTTCAGGGCACATCCCATGGTGCGGTCGCTCCCTCAGGTGTCCCCAGGCCTCTCGGGTTTCTGGAAGTGCAGCAGCAGCCTGTGGGCCTGAGAGGTGGGTAGAGAGCCCAGGGCACAGCCAGCAGGTGCTGTGGATGCAGGCGCCACCCTCCACAATCCGCCCCCCCCCCCCCACGAGGTCACTGGTCCTGTAATGATGGTCCCAGGAAGCCCCAGCTTCCCGAAGCCTGACCCTCTTCCATGTGGGCCTTGCAACCAGCACACAGGGAGTGCCCCTCTCGGGGAACATGAACAGCCGTGTGGAAGTTGATTCCACTCAAGGAAACTGATACTAGACATGTCAACGTCTTCACATGTGAAACAGCTATGAGGTGGAATATTTTGTGATATTTTCAAGAAAATGATCCCCGAAAGTGCAAAACTATAAGCACAACTTGAAAATAAAACATTTATTCCAAAGGCATGAAGGTTTATAGCGGAAACTGCACCCAGGGAACTCACCCACTAGACCAGTTCCTCATGTTGTGGTGACCCCCAATTTCACTGTTACAAATTGAACATAATTAAAGCATAGTGATTAATCACAAAAACAATATGTAATTATATATGTGTTTTCCGTTGGTCTTAGGCGACCCCTGTGAAAAGGTCGTTCGACCCCCAAAGGGGTCGCAACCCACAGGTTGAGAGCCGCTGCACTAGACAGTGACGACACAATGACACTTGTCTCACCTACACACTCTCAGTTACCTGTCAAAGGTGTGTGGTCTGAACAGATGCCATTATTTCTGAATGAAGGCAGTGTATTATTTACTAGGAAACTCACTCAACCCCGCCTGCCATGCAACTTCCCCAAATCAGAACACTCCAGCTTGATTTTAGTAGTACACATGCACTAATATCCTGAATTTGAACTCTTTTATTTGCAACACTTTGTTTGCTGGAGAGCTGACTTGTTGCTAGGCTACTTGTGGGTGCCAAGCTACTGGCAACAACATTTATGAGTCAAGAGAAAACCATTAATAATAAATCCTGTGATTTATGTACAACTAGAAAGACCATAAAATGTATAAGTTTTAAGCACATAATCAGAAAATAACATGTTCTAAAAAGTATTAGATTTATACCTTAGCCTTTAAAACAAATGAATTAGAATAATAAAAAATGAATTTGTGGAATATGATGAACAGCATAAACTGATAAATAAAAATAGATCCAGAGACATAGAAGCATCAAAAGACTGTCAAACCTCAGAGGGAAGGCAGGGGAGGATGGAAGGGGCAAGGGGATGTGGGTAAGGGATCAACTAAAGAACGTGTATGCATATAAGCATAACCAAGGGACACAGACAATAGGGAGGTTGAAGGCCTGGGTTGGGGGGTGGGAATGGGCTGGGAGAGGACAATGGGGGATAAAGGGGATATATGTAAAACTTTCAAAAATAAATAATTTTAAAAAGAACTGTGATTTTCTTAAAGTTCTCTTTTATGTCATTTAGCATGAAAAGCTGTTTTTCCATATGAGTGAGAAGTGAGCAATTCTTTTCAATTGTAAAATATCAAGTAAGCTATGAGACCCACCATTTTATGGTGAAAGTTTGTTTCATGGCCAACAAACAGATCAATGTCATTAAGATTATGGGTCATCTTGAGTTGACCATTCTTAATGTCACTGTTATTTGTTAATCAAGACACCTTCTCTAACATCAAGAATCGACACAGAACAGACTGGAGGTTGCCGGAGGGGGGGGGGGGGGGGCTTGGGGCTGCATAAAAGAAGGTGAAGGGATTAAGAAGCACAAAATGGCAGTTAAGGCCAAGCACAGGGTGGGGCGTGTGATCCGTATAACATGGATGTCAGGTAGGCCTGGGGATGCCGGGAAGACGGCAAAGCATATGATCACCTACCGCTACGCTGCACACCTGAAACCAACATGAAATAACACTGCACGTAAACTGTGCTTGAAATAAATAAATAAACGGCAAGAGAGCACTAAGACAATGGCCGGGAGTTGAAACTGTAACACACCTTCCACAAGACAGTGGAGACTCCCACATGACTGCCATGGCGTCAGGTTAAAGTGTGAAACCAGCAACCTTTCTTATTGGAGCTAAATCTTCCACCGACAACCTTACTCTAGGTCAGTGGTTGTCAACCTTCCTAACGCCGCGACCCTTTAATACAGTTCCTCATGTTGTGGTGACCCCCAATTTCATTGTTACAAATTGAACATAATTAAAGCATAGTGATTAATCACAAAAACAGTACGTAATTATATATGTGTTTTCCGATGGTCTTAGGTGACCCCTGTGAAAGGGTCGTTCAACCCCCCAAGGGGTTGTGACCCACAGGTTGAGAACCGCTGCTCTAGGTCAATGTGAGAAAGCAACAATCCCACCTACAGTGACTTGCAGTATGAATTGGACCACGGTGCTTCTTTGCACACATAGTACTCAATATGGAGACTGCAGATGGAAACAGACACTTGCTTCACAGTCTTTCATTCGCCAAGGGGGACCTTCTCTTGGGCTTGCTTGTGTCTTATACTCCATCATTGCACCTGCTGAGATCCCAGAATTCTGAGAGTCTGACAGAGAAAAGATCTGGACCAAATACCCCTAAACAATATGATGTTCATGCTCCTGAGAAGATAAAGTTGGTCAACAAGGTGACATAAAACCAGCCAGACACAAGCTGGAGGTACACCCACTGTCACTGGAAGGAAACCACTGTGGCTGCAGGCACAGTGCTTCATCCAGACTGACTCTCAGTGGCCAGTGAGTGAAGGTCAGGTACACACACTGGTCTGCAGTCATCACAGAAGAACAGGAAACTCTGGGGTCAGAACCTCATTCTATTTCTATGGAATAAAAACCTCTGGCTGCATAAGCATAGCACAGTACGCAGCCGCCACACTTCATCATCTACCGCAGTGAGCCAGAGGCAGCTTGGGAAATTGCAAAGAGGACGACTTTTCCTTCTCTCTCTTTTTTAAATTTAGTTTTTATTGTTGACAGTATTACAGATGTCCCCCATCACCCCCCCCAACTTTGTCCCCTCTACCTAGCATCCTTTACTACTAAATTGCACTTATAATATCTTATTGATAAAACAATAAATTAAATCTACAAACTAATATTTGAAGGCAACCTCCCGCCTTTAAAGACTCTACCATGGACATCCATCCACACACATGGTTATTTGAAATATATCCCAGTTTTCAGCATTGTTTTAAAATATTGCTTCTCTGGGACAATTGGAGATAACAAATTTGCCTCCTGAGATTGTTTGTCCCTTTGGTATTTTTTTCAAAGTTCTCAAAATAAACATAGTGGGTAGCTGAGGAATAATTTCCTCTCATGTGCATTTGGGAAAAATGACATTAAATTTGTAGGGCTCATGGGAGGATTGAGAATATATAAATGCACGACCATAATTCTTGCTCAGTACATCATGTGTTGTGCTCATAACTTCTCTGAGTTCTTGAAGTGGTTTCTGATTGAGTTAGGATCTGTCCTTGGAATGAGGCAAGACTGAAAATGCAGGTGAGGCCTGAGTGGCCAGAGTTGCAAGGAAAGACAAAACATGGAGGGTGAAGAATCACCTACTTCTTGGAAATTCTCCAAGTGCCAAAACAAAAAGGGGAAGCATGAGAAATCTGGCAAATTGTTTGGTTTTGGTTTCTTTGCTTTGTTTTGCTCACTGGATGGACATGTGCATTTGAGGGCAATGAAAACAAATTAAGAGGAAAACAATTTCCTTCAGCACAACTTGACTCCTTTTACTGTCCAGACTTAGCTTATCTCATCTTCACTGAACAACCACCTACAAAACCTCAACTGCAGCAGCAAAATCTAACCTTGAATTTCACCCTGCATGACACATTCAGATACCTTATAGACAAAACACATCTCCTGCACTTAGTTATCATTCAAACGCAGGAATCAATGGGAGAGAGGGCAAGAAGACATAGCATGTAACAAAAAGATGACACTTAAATACGAAATTCTGGACTGACAGATACTGCCTTCATTAGATCACAGTATTGCAACAGTGGGGATTGTAACCCACCCACCATTCTTTTGATACTGTTTTTGTGAATG